TGACAGCCTCAAACCAACCGACCAGCCTAAAGAAACCGAGGAGAGTACGAAGAACAAAGAAAACGACTCGGGGAAACCAACAGAGAGTCCTTTGCTTCACAAGTCTCCAAATCCTTACAAACCACGCATTCCTTTTCTGAGTAGACTCCGAGACGAGAAGCAAGAGCAACAGTTTCAAGATCTCTACAACATGCTCTCAAAGGTCAATGTCAACCTACCTCTCTTGGACGTGATCAAGAACATGCCTTCTTACGTGAAGTTCTTCAAGGATTTGGTCACGAAGAAGAGGAAATTCGGAGATGGGGAGAAAGTGGTAGTTTATGAGGCAGCGAGTGCTATGCAGCATGATCTTCCGAAGAAAGAACGGGACCCCGGAGGCTTCGTGATAAAGATTGCTCTTGGGAATGGAAAAGAGGCTTCGGGGATGCTTGACCTCGGAGCGGGAATCAACCTAATGCCGTTTTCTATCTTCCAGCGGCTCGGTTTAGGAGATTTGAGGCCCACTCGCATGTGTCTTCAACTCGCAGACCGTTCGATCAGATACCCCAAGGGGGTAGTTGAGGATGTCCTTGTTCGTGTGGGAAAGCTCATCGTCCCGGTGGACTTTGTAGTGCTCGATGTCGGTGACGTTCACGAGAATGGGAAGGACCATACCATCCTTCTCGGCAGGCCGTTTATGGCCACCACCAACACCCTCATTGATGTCAAGAACGGAACCTTGAACATGACAGTCCTAGGCGAGTCCGTGTCTATCTCTGTCCGAGAGGCCACATCTGGCCCCTCGGCGAACTATGTGGAGGAATGCGCCTTTATTGATGTGAGTGACCCGTTTGTGGAGGAGATGACTATTCGAGAATTGGAAGAGAGGTCATTGCCCGACCTCGAAGAGGAAGAAGGACCGTTTGTTGAGCTAATGGAGGTCGAGGAACCGAGATCGAAGGTCCCACCAACGTTAGAATTGAAAGAGTTGCCTCGTCACCTCAAGTACGTTTTCCTCGATGATGAGAAACAAAAGCCGGTTATCATATTTGCCGAGCTTAATCAAGACGAAGAGAAAGAGCTGATCGAGGTGCTTAAGAAGAATCACAAGGCCATCGGTTGGGGCCTAGGAGA